GCTCTCCCTATGGCCTGCCCCTCGATTAAGAGGCCAATCAGAGGAGGGTTTTGTGTTTCCCATTGCATAAGACCAACTAAAAGCTTGCTCACTTCTGACTGACGTGTTGGACAGCCAACCAGAAGAGCCGAGGCCTGGCGATTCGGCCTCCTAGTGCAGTCGCCATCTCGGTCTAGGTCCCTGTCCTTGTCCCGTCCCCGGCTGGAATCTAAGCTTTTGATCTGAGAGAAATAACTAAGAAGGAGGTCCACGCTGGAGAGATGGTGGCTCAAGAGGCAAAATACTATTTCCCAGAGTTTGGTTGGCTCTGAGGTCAGATGATTTTGTAGTTGAGGTGTCAAAGCTACTCTGGGGTTGGCCTTGAGGAGTGACCACCCGAGAAAAGTATTGGTCGAGAGAGCGCCTCAGATAATGTTGCTTTGCCACCATGCTGTTTCACTTCCCCCCAGGGTCAGGTGGGAAGAAGCCTAGGAACATCAGGGCCTTTAATTAAGTGTTGGTCTATCTATAGTGAGGAGTGTTAGGGATGTTCAATTAGCAGCAATAAATACTACTTCAAGAATGACTAAAATGAAATGTGCGGGGAAAATTTTAAAAACCTGATAGCGGCATCATTACAGCTAAAGGTATCATTAAATACCAATGCTAATTAAAACTAAGAAATAGCATTTTCACCAAATTCTTTGGATAATTATCAGTTGTTTAATATTGTGCCACTTTGGGCAAAGAAACTTGCAGGGCAGGGATGGCAATTTTTCCACTTCCGGTAAGAAAACAGACATTTTCATTTGCTGTATGCGGGAGCCTAAACTGCACACTTTAAGAGGGTAACTTAGTAGTACCTATCAAAATGTAATACACATACTTTGATCCAGCAATTCCTTCTTTCAAAATCTATCCTACAGAAAGACTTAAAACACATGAATGAGCAAGGTATGTGTAGCATTACTTGTAATAGTGAAGGATTGGAGACAAACTGGAATCAATCAATTGTTTTACAACCATACCACGAAATGTCATGCCACCATTTTTAAAAATGAGGTAAATTTCCATATACTAATGTGAAAGGAAGTCCACAATACATTGCAAAGTGTAAAAATTAAGTTGCAAAATAGTGCACATATCCCATTTTGTTAAAAAAAAACACCCTACATATGAGTGTGTGGGTATTCATACGTGTACATGTGTAAATGAATATGTGTATATTCATACATACATTCATGTATGTATATTCACATACACATATCTATGCATAGGAAAAGGTCTGGGAAGACACATACCAAATTAAACTATTCTTGGAGAATGGGCATAGGGAGAGGGAATAAAGAGAAATCTCTTTTTACACATTTAGGTTTTGTTTGAATTTTGTCAACTAGCATTAAGTACTTTTTGAATTTTTATCACCACAATAAAACATTTTAGCAAAATAGGCACTTTTGTAATAGGAACAATCAGCAAAACTATCATTTCTGCATTTTAAATAAGAATAATTACAGATAGGAATGAGGTGACTATTTCATTCAAAAATTTTAGCTAGAAGACCTAAGATAAAATTGGGACAACCGTAAATCAATTCAACACTGAGCTTCAGTGTAGTACTCATGACTTGATACAACAGGATGTGGGCAAACAAAATCTAATCAGAATAAATGAAGAGTTGTTCATTTCTGGGAGAGAAAACTACACAATGGCAAACTCCATCCAGTGGAAAAAACTTTGCTTTCACCTTTTTGGTAGCATCACCTCCAGGGTTTACTCAACTCCTTAGGGCAAGGGTTGGAAATCATAAGAATTAGAGATTTAAGATACCTCAGATATCATTCAGTCAAATCCCCTCATTTTACAGTTGAGAAAACAGGCCCAGATTGGTGAAGCAATTTGCCTGTAGGTGCTATAACCAGCTAAATAGCATAGCCAGCTCTGGAATCCAGGTTTCTATTCCAGGCCTACTATTCCTTTCTACTTCTCAGATCTTCCTGAGTCTTCACTCTGATGACATGTTAGGAAATATTTTAAAGTCTTATGAATATTAGACTCCCCTATATTTAAATTGTAGAATAAAAATGCATAGCAAAAGAAAAATCTATTAGCACAGATGATCAAAAGTTGGCTGTATTTGGACAAAAAACATTATTGGTAAAATAACATTTTCTTGAAAAGTAATGTATAAATTTCTGCGACTCTAACTGTATTTTGCTATTCACTTAAGAACTACTGTTTTGGGGTGCCTCGGTGGCTCAGTCGGTTAAGCGTCTGCCTTTGGCTCAGGTCATGATCCCTGGGGCCTGGGATGGAGCCCAGCATTGGGCTGGAGGAGGTGGTCCTTGCTCATCAGGGAGTCTGCTTCTCCCTCTCCTCTACCCCTCCCCCCAGCTCATGCTCTCTCTCTCTCAAATAAATGAAATAACATCTTTAAAAAAAAAAGAACTAATGTTTTACCTAATTTCTGACTGATCTTCAACTGGCAGTGCCTCTTAATCCTTTACCTTCAGTTTCTCTATATCACGTAGTTGATGATCTATATACATTAAAACCACTGCAGGAAACACCTACTTAAAGAAAACCTGCTGTAATTTAAAGAATACTTTATTCTGTGTAAGGTTAATAATTACCCCAATTTGTTCTGTAAAGAATGAGTTCTGTTCTCAAGAGGATGGATGGACAGATAGGCAGGCAGGAGGGAGAGAGAAAATAAAAGTAAAATAGGGAACAATTATTTTTTTGGACAAGCAAAGCAAAAGATAAGAGGAATGAAGGGTGTTGGGTGGTCGGGAAGGGAGTGGCAGAGAACCACAAGCTAAATTAGTCACAAAGTGTTTATATTTTAAAAGTAAATGTATAAATGGACTAACAACCACCTAACCTGCAGGCTATAATTAAAGTGGTGTCCAGTTTTAGACTCTATGACTTAGGGACATGTAAGGACCTTGGAGAGATTTCAGAATAATAAAGGTAAAAGGGTAAAAAAAAAAAATGAGCCAAGTGAGGAAAAATTAGAACTGTTATTGTGCCTAAGAAGAGAAGACCAGGGGTGACTCAAAAGTCCTCAGGATATGAAGAAATATCCATTTCAGTGAACAGTTGGTCTACATTTCCACAGTAGAAAGTAATTTTACTTAAATTATGACAGTATGTATTTGAAGATGAAAGTGTCTCACCTAGGACGTCTCACTAAACAAAAACTCCAGAGAAGGCTGAATGCTGTTCACCTCTCCCACCCTTTACTAGCTCAACTCCTCATCTCAAAGAATGGGTTAAAGGGTAGATAAGGCATCTCCAGAATGTGAAGCTTTAGACTTCATTGGCGTCTAGCTACTACGTTTAAAATTTTTCGTTAGCCTCTGTCCCCCAGATCCCAGTGTAAGGTTGAGCTGCTTCTGTGCTATGGGTAAAAGGGATTAATTAGTAATAAATACTTAGATGCATACATAACCTTGAACTCCTTATAAAAAAAAATGCTTCTCCTCGGTGTTGATGGGTAAGAGGGCTTGGATTTGGGGTTCTTTCGGGACCCAGTTACTGTGCTAACATGACCCACTCGACTCCAAAGAGGGAATTTACCTGACCTGATATTAAACAGAAAAAAAAAAACTGGACAACTAGATGTGCCTGGACCTCTAATTTTGTCTCTAGCATTTTGTCTTATTTAGACATCTCCTGCAATAAGGAATAAGTATAAAGTCTATGAAGAAAGAGAATGTAATGTTTTATTTATACCACGACCACCCCACCCCACCCCAGTCCAGCTTTTAGCATAAGGCTGGGCACACAGAAGGCTAAGAACCAGTGCTTGTTAAATGACTGTCATGTGTCCAAAATTTTGATATTTTACTCTATAGCTGCTTTTTCTAGTTATCCTCTAATTCATTCTCTAATGCTGCTGCCTACGAAGGCTGCATTTGTCTCCTTACTCTTCCTTCCTCTTATCTCACAGAAACTTCTATTCTTCCCTATCCCCTCAGATATCTTTAGTCATCTAATTCCTGAACTACCAAAACCTCCTAACTTCGATTCAGCCCCCACTCTTCTACTCACCCCCAAGTACATTGTTGTCACCTTAATTCATGTTTTGACATTACTTTCTATACCTTCTTTCCATGCTCAACTACATGATTAAAACAAGCTTTGACTTCCCAAATAACAAGACTCCTAGCTCCTCTTATTCCAAACTTTTACTAAATCCACTTTGTGTAGGAAGCCATTTCAGAACACATTGGTCAGATGAAAATATCCACCCATCAAAAGTTCTCAGAGTTAAGAAAAAAAAAAGTTCTCAGAGGTCATTCACCTTTCTGTCTGTATCCCATCTATTTGAAAGAAAATCCTCTCGGGGTGCCTGGGTGGCTCAGGAGGTTAAGCATCTGCCTTTGGCTCAGGTCATGATCCCAGGGTTCTGGGATGGAGCCACACATAGGGCTCCCTGCTCAGTGGGGAGTCTGCTTCTCCCTGTCCCTCTGCCCCTCCCCCTAACTCGTGCTCTCTCTCGCTCGCTCTGCTCTCTCTCTCTCTCAAATAAATAATCTTAAAAAAAGAAAATAGTCTCAGCTGAGGTATAAAAAAAAAAACCTATGAAAGATATAGTGTTCACAAATGGAATGTTGGAGGATGAGCGCATGCACACACGTGTTTATGTGCACATACAGCATATGCATATACATGTACATACACACACACACTATATATTCTGCCCAAATTAGCAGAAACCCACAGGCTTAAAAACCAAATCTGCTAAATCTGACCCAAACCATAGGTATTAAGCCCTATGGCTACTTCCTGCAAGCAGATGCATTACCTCTGTGACAAAGTCAATTGGGAGTTGCAAGTATAGGTAAATATCGCTACAGGCAGCTAGGATTCTGTTTTTTTTTTTTATACTTAAATGTAAAACTTAACTTGTCACCTCAGGACACTGACCATGTTATATGATTTCTGCACAATACCAAGAATATCCTAGACACTAAAAAATACTATATTTACAACTTAAGCAGGAAAACAGAGGCTTGCTTCACAGTGGTTTAATATGAACAGAGTTGAATATGACATTGTCTGACAGAAGAATGAACAGTTTGCTGAATAAAAGCCCCGAGTCAGGATATATACACAGCAGAAATGGGGCCTCAGGCTTTCAGCACTTGTGCACAATGAAAGAAGAACTCTTTAAAAAAAAAAGTCAATAACAGAGAATACAAATCAAAAAGGCAGCAACAACACCAACACTGGGGAGGTGGGAAAGGGAGCAGAGAGAGCCTCTCTCTAGGGGCTGCTCAGCCCCTGGTACAGGCTCAGCAGCTGGAGAGCTGATCTGTCTCAGGGAACGTCAACATTTAGAAGGACTCCAAATCCCATGTCAAAATGCAATCCTAATCTCTCTGATCAGGGTCTTGTCAGACTCTATAATCCTTTTCCCCAAGACCCTGCATAGAGAATTCCAATCCTTCCATGACGGACAGTCTAAGCAAAGAGTCCCCACTTTTGACATGACAACAGTTAACTTGCTCCCATCCCACCACTGGAGATAGATTATCGGGCCCCAGCAAACAAACCACTACCTCCCAGACAGAAGCCCAGGAAAGCTGCTTCAGACTCTAAGATTTGGGACATCCATACCCAGCTGCTATCTCTAGCTGAAATTCTGGGGATAATGCTGGAATTCCATGGAAAAGGAGTGCAGGCAGTTCAAAAACCCTGTGACCAAGCTGGGGAGGGCAGCGGCAACTCTTGCCCCTGAGCCCCATTCAACAGCTCAAAGTGCTTAGAAGTCAGAGACTGTGTGGTTTGTTCATGTGCTTCTGCCCTATGGCAGCACTAAATGGGATGGGGGGAAGGGAGGATGGAAGGGGGAGGGTAGTGATGCCCTTCCCCACCACTGGGAGGTACCTAGAAAATGATCCACTCCCACCCTTTAGGGAGTTACCTGGCAGTGGTGAGTTGCCCCCACCCCTCAAGCCATCAAACCTGCAAAGCTAACCTATAAAGTACCAAGGGCTTGGGGAGGGAGAACTGCTGGCCCATACTGGCTCACCTCCTGATGAGCAAGAACAGGCAGCCAGAGTGGGGAGCCACAAAAGAGAGGGGCTAGACAACAAGAGTTCTCCTACTGCCCTATGGCTTTCTTCTGACTCTGAAGCAGCCATGATGAGGGGCCCAGAAAACCCACACACCTTGCTCCATACAACAGACTGCTTAGACTCTAGGATTTACTGCCATGAAAAGCAACAAGGGAGAGAGAAAGTAACAAAAGAAACTGTTGAGAAAACTGGGAAGCAGGCCTAGAGAAAACAAGAACGTTTGGGTCTCTACCACCTTCCCAAAAAGGAAAAAGTTCATGCAGGTAGGAAATGCAGGGCTGTTCCCTGCTCAGCGTTCCTGGTTAAACCTAAGAGTAAGAAAATCCCCTGGACTTGCAGCATCAGTATGTATCCAAGTGCCCCACCAGCACAAGACCCGCCCCCCCCCAAAAAAGATTAGCCTTCTGGCATGGGTAAATGCCCAAGAAATTGCCTTCCAGTCCAATCCCCCCACCCGCACCCCAAGCAAAGGGCATCTGCCTGTGGTTCCCACCTCTCCTTAGAGAAGAGGATCCTAGCAGAGTGCCCACGGTGTAGTCAGGTACCAAGGAACACAATGCCAGCCAGTCTATCGGGCCAGGGGATGGGCAGCCAACTTCAGATCAAAGAGAGAGAGAGAGGCTTAGTGTAAAAACCAATGTCATTTTCAGCAGGAAAGTAGAGGGCAAGTGGTGAGAGGGGCTCCTACTGGCGCACCTTCCCGGGGACGTAGTTCCTGTCAATTGCCTCCTCCTGCAGGAACATGTGTAGGCAGCGTTCGTTCTGAGCCAGTGGGTGCCCAGCAATTCTATAAAGAGACCAAGATGGTTATCAGTAGTATTTGGGATCAGAGAGAATTTGCAGAGCAATGGGGGTGTGGACAGGGGAGGAAGGGCCAGGGTAGCTCCTCCAGAGGTTCAAGCAAGTAGAGGACAGCAACGGGGCACCATTCTAACCCTAACATTATAGAGAAGGGGGAGAGAGGGGTATGGTACAGCGAAATCCCCAAACACATCCGCCATGCGGTGCTTCCTCAGGCCCTGAGGCACAGGATCAAAATTCGGCTCAAAGGAACAGAGTTTTACTGTCCAGTGTCAGCTCACCGCACAACTGGCATCACATCTCGTTCCAGAAGAAGAGACAGACAAAGTGTAGAAAGACCATGATGGCAAAAGCCGCAAGAAGAGTCCCCAGGAACTTGGCTTACTTGTTAATAAACTGTTCGAGGCCCTGCCTCCTTTCTTCAATGAAGGACTCCTCAAAGATCCCTTCATCTCCTCGAAAAGGGAGCTGACGCTTCAAGGCTTTCCCAGGCAGTGGCGGTACTACAATCTGCAGGCAGATGCAAAATAGCAGCCACGTGAGAGAGAATGAAGAGGGTATGAGAGGGTGAAGCACTGTATATCCCATTTCCTATCAGGCAGGGTCTATCTTATCCCATGGCCAGCAACCTGCAAGAACTGAGGCCATAAGAACAGTCAAGATGGCTCAGGTCAAAAACGAACCCAACTGATTTTATGGAAGGACAGGTTTACCACCTCAAAAGAAAGGAAATAAACTCCAAACATTCCTCACTTTCTTTCACAATCCACCAGCATCCAGTAATTTAGCTAGGCCTTTCCTGACACTATACTGTACATTTTCAGCACCTACAGAGTTAAGCTGTATGACTTTCCTAGCCACTAATTCAAGTGATACTTTTTCTTTAAAATTTGTCCTGGACTTACCACTTTTAAAGTTTCAAAGGGTATCACCCAGATCCAGTGTGTTGGGATTGGATAGTGTTCAGCTGCTCCACTGCCTTTAAAATTTTATAGATTATGATCTCATGCCCTCTCAGCCCATGTAGATCCCCTCCTCCAAGGGTCCCACACAGGGAATGGGGTCATACCTTACTATCTCGCTCCAGCTCATTTTTTAGCCACTCAAAGTCACTGTAGCGTCGCCGTACACAGGACTCCTTCAGTTTGAAGATAGGTAGGTTTGTCTACAGGGAAGGAAAAATGAGAGACGAGAGATGGTAACTAATGTTCAGCCTGTGGTAGCCACCTGTCAGAACCACTTCGACAGGGCCCAGTGAAGAAATAACTCCTGCAAACCATGTTCCTATAACTCCTTTAAAATACCACCAGGTAAATACCGATCCTTACCACATCCAGCCTTGTCACAGTTGGAGATTAGAAGTCCCTTGCTGTTTAGAGTGTATCCTATAAATAAATTTGAAGTTGTATGCAAATATGTATGCACAAGGGGTTTCACTGTACTTTATTTGTAATAATTAGTAAATGTCCATCAATAGGTAATTGGTTAATTATGGTATGCCTATACAGAATTACTGTATAGCTATGAAAAGAATGTGAAATATATATGAGCTAGTCTGGAAATATATTAAGCATTAAAATTAAGGTACAGAACAGTACATAGAGCTTGCCTCTATTTGTTGTTTTTTTTTTTTTCTATTTGGTTTTAAAAAGGGATATGTGGGGCGCCTGGGTGGCTCAGTTGTTAAGCATCTGCCTTCGGCTAGGGTCATGATCCCAGGGTCCTGGGATCGAGCCCCGCATCAGGCTCCCTGCTCGGCAGGAGGCCTGCTTCTCCCTCTCCCACTCCCCCTGCTTGTGTTCCCTCTCTCGCTGTGTCTCTCTCTCTCTGTCAAATAAAATCTTAAAAAAAATAAAAAGGGATATGTATATTTACCCAAAGAAAATAAAAACACTAATTCAAAAAGATACATGCACCCCTTCGTTTACTGAAGCATTATTTACAATAACCAAGAAATGGAAGCAACCCAAGTGTCCATCAAAAGATAAATGGATAAAGAAGATGTGCTACACACACACACACACACACACACACACACACACACACACACACACAGGAATATTACTCAGCCATAAAAAAGGATGAGATCTTGCCAGTTGCAACAACATGGACTGACGTAGAGGGTATTATGCTAAGTGAAATGAGTCGGACAGAGAAAGACAAACATCATTTAATTCACTTATATGTGGAATCTAAAAAACAAAACAAACAAAAAGTAGAAACAGACCCATAAATATAGAGAACAAACTGTTGGTTGCCAGAGGGGAGGTGGGTGGAGGTATGGGCAAAATGGGTGAATGGGATGGGAGATACAGGCTTCCAGTTATGGAATGAGTAAGTCAGGAGGATAACAGCATAGGGAATATAGTCAATGGTATTGTAATAGTAGTGAATGGTGACAGATGGTAGCTACACTTGTGGTGAGCACAGCGTCATGTATAATCTTGTCAAATAACTATGTTGAACACCTGAAACCAATGTAACACTGCGTGTCAACTATACTTCAACTAAAAAGGGAATATGTGGGGCGCCTGGGTGGCTCAGTGTGTTGAGCATCCGACTCTTGATCTTGGCCCAGGTCTTGATCTCATAGTTGTGAGTTTGAGCCCCGTGTTGGGCTCTGTGCTGGCTGTGGAGACTGTTTTAAAAAGGAGGGGGGGACATGTATATGTGTATATATTTATAGTTATGAATAAAATGTTTATTCATAATAACAGTGATTGACTTTAGAGTATAAGACTAAACGGGAATGGGAAGGCCACATTCTTCATTGAACAATTTGAATTTATCACATGCACGTATTGTATTTTCAGTTGAAAAGTGAATTTAAGTTCCTGTAAAGAATAAGAGAAAAGCACCTCCAAGGTATGCCTTCCTCAGCTTTTCCCATCCAAATCCTTTCCGTTCTACAAGTCCCAGATCAAGTCCCATTTCATCCAGGAAATCCTTCCTGAGAACACCAGCTTAATTTACTGGTCTTCCTCTCCTCTACACTCCTATAACATTCATACTTTAGTAGTGCCTGACACACTATTGTTTTATGTATCATGTTAGTCTTGCTACTTAGCTAAACTCTAATCTCATTGAAATCAGGAGCCATGACTACTTTTGCATTGCCCTAAATGCAGACAGACTATGCGAGTTACTCAGTAAATACTCAATTGATTAATAGAGGCCCCATGTATTTGTTTACCTTCTCCTGGTCTAGGAAGTACAGCAGAAATAGCAATTACATTAAGTTGGCTTACTATCGCCCGCTCCCTGACATAAATCAGCTTATTCCCACATCTTAATCATTAGGCTCTAATGGCGACATGAACTACCAACAAACAAAAAGCCCTCCTGATCCTCACTCTTGTCTACAGATTCTAAATAGAAATGGCCGACCACATGTATTAATACTGACTCTACTTCCCACCAGCCAATTCATATCAGCAGATGGAAATAAAAGGAACTAGTTTCTCTCCTTTCCCCACAACTACCTCAGGGCAGGAAAAGAATATCTTCGAGCTATACTAGTGCTTCACACAGTCCTCACTACATCGTGCTTTTGGAAATTGTCTTTCCAGGATCCAGTTCTAGGAAGAGGTCATCAAAAGCTAAATAACTAACCAGCTTATATTAGTTACAACTCTACCCAGGATCAAGGTCCAAGGAATGTCAGTAAGTTGAAGGAGAGTGAGATACAGGTAAAGTAGTATTTCATTACAACCTGTTCTTTAGGAGAATAAATAAAAAAACTGGAAACAGTGGTTTCTTTGGAAAAGGGAACCTCTAGAAGGGCAGAGGAAGGAAGACTTAAGTTTTTACAGTGTATCTTTTTAATTTTGTACCATGTGCATGTATTAACCATTCAAAATAAAACATTAAGAGCATTCTCAGAATCCTGCAAGAAATCTGCATGAGTATCAAATCATCGCATTATACGCCTTAAACTTATCCAATATTATATGTCAATAACATCTCAATAAAGCTGGGGGGGGGAATAATCTTGCAAGAAAAAAAAAGTGCTTTCGTATCACGTGATTCTAGGTTTCCACCAGACTTCATTACAAATAACGTGATCCCCAAACAGCAGAACCTTAACTAGTACAGAAGCCAACAGAAGGACCAAAGAAAAGGGGGAAAAATGCTGAGTAGATTCTTCCAAGACACAGTGAAACCACCCACTACCATTTTGTGGACTTCCTCCTTTGACTCACAAAAATCCTATTCTTCCCCTACCCCCACAGGATGATGACAATAATGACCTTTTATCTCAGCACCTAGCCATCTAAGGAAGGGGCTACTGTGTACTAAGTAAGATAGTCTCCTAGCTCCAACCTATAAATCATATGAGGAAGACAGGATTGTGTAGTACAGGATACAGAGAGTCCTTTGGCTCTGATCAACACAAAGTCAAGGGAAAGGAGAGAAGGAAACAAAGTTCAAGTCCACAGGACAACTGACATTTGAAAGTTCCACACACATTATGTGAAGTCACCAGGAAACCTCTCCAGACTCCTCATTTCTTAGGAGGGTGGGAGGGGGGAATTCTTTCCTGAGCAAAATAAGAGAACAGCTTCAGAAATATTTAACTACTATACGAAGAAAAAAAAGTCAGTGCCATCTGCTAATACCATAGATGATGCCTAACTCCCAAAGCCCATTCTTTCAGTCTCATGCTTCCTATAATGCCTACCATGATCAACCACCTAAAATAGCAATTAAAAACCAATTATTTCGACTTTTCCCCAAAACTGAATTCAATTACAATATTAAAAGCCAAGCTAGCCATACAAATTAACATAAACAATACAAATTAACTCAAACCTACAGAACTAGGAACTGCCATCAACCCCATCATCACTGTACAATTAAAAATTGTGAAAAGGACGGATTAAAAGCTTAATGGTAAAAAAAAAATGGTACAAAAAATTTTGCACACTAAAGTTTTGCAACTAAGCACAGCCAAAGAGACTAAAGTGTAGTGGAAGGAGTATGATGGGCTTTGGGGTCAGACAGACCTGGGTTCAAATCCCAGCCCCACTTATTAGCTCTGTGTACTTGGGAAAGTTACTCAAACTGCATTCCTCCTCAGTTTCCTACCTGTAAAATGTCATTTTTGTAAGGATTTAGAAACTAAAACCTAGTTCAGTACATGGCACATAGTAGGCACTAGATGAACAGTCTCTGTTATTAGAATGCCTTAAGAAGAGAGCTATTTCAGGGCGCCTGGGTGGCTCTGTTGGTTAAGTGTCTTGACTCTTCTTGGTTCCGGCTCAGGGCATGATCTCAGCGTCTTGAGATCAAGCTCCAGGTCAGGCTCTACACTCAGCGTGGAGTCTGCTTGGGACTCTCTCTCCCTCTTCCTCTGCCCCTCCCCACTGGGCACCCACATGCTCACTCTCTCTTTCTCTCTCTCAAATAAATAAATCTAAATAAATAAAGAGAGCTATTTCATTCATAGTCCCTAAGGCTCTTGGGTAATGCATGGAGACATTGCCTCTAAAACCCCACAGTAGAGAATCCTTACACTGAACAAGTTATGCCCAGTCTTCCTCAAGTAATTAAGTTTTCTACCACTAATTAGCAGTTCCCAGCTTTTATTGTATTTTCAGAGATCTAACTTCCATCCTTCCCCAAAGAGATGGTTCCAAGTAGTTCTTATAAAGGAGAGTTTTTTTTCCAATCTTTGCTTCGATTTTCTTTCTTCAGTTTGGACTTGGCCAAACTTGGAATTTGGAGAGCATCATTTCTCAATTAAATTTCAAAGCCCAGGCAGGAGACACACTCTCATTTAATTCATTCATTCATTCAAAAATGAAAGCACATACACTCTTTTACGTCTTCAAATGCTGTTTGAGCAGCATGCTGTCCATAGAGAATATTCTGGCCCTCTAGTCTGAGAAAAAAACATAAGGAAAATTAGAAAATGCTTCTCCAACTTTTTTGCCTGTAACCACTTCAACTGGGCAAAAGAACCTGCAAACCACTACTGTATCCACACATTCCATCCTTGCAGTGTGGACTAAGAACTAGAGAATAAAGTCCTCTGCAGTGCACATCGGAAGAAGCCACTCCTGAAATGTCATATATTAAATTAACCACAGACCACGGTCTTAACCCAAAAAATTAATCTAGAACAGAAAGGGCAAATGACCATATGTATACAGAAGCTCAAATGGGAGCCAATACTGAAACAAACATCCTGGATACTTCAAATCTAAAGGATCAGCACAGGATGAGAGCACCGACTGACAATCCACCAATCCCGGTGCAAGGCCAGGCTTCACCATGAGACACAGCATGTGGTACCTGAGAAAACTTAAGCACAAAACATTTCTCTTTCAGATGCTAATTTTACACAAGTCTGGGGAGCACTCAATCTCAAGGAGACTCCCTTTCTTACTTCTGCTCTACCAAGCCCACTATCTCCCTTTCCTGGAGTCTATCTCCCCTTTAATCCAGGCTTTGCTTAACTCCATCATCTCAGGGAGACCTCATTAGGAAGAAATAGGGGCGTCCTGCCCTCCCTCTTCAGACACTTCCCACAACCTAGTTTAGTTATGGGACCCAGAGATGTATCACCTTGGCTTTCCATCCCCCCAGCCCTCTGCCACTTTTCCTTCCCTCCTTCTGTCGCTACAGTCAGGATTCCTATTTCCTTTTATTCCTCACTGTAATCTTCTCCATCGTCCCCACCCTTATCCAGCCATGCTTCACTTCTTGCTCATAGGTACTTATTTTCCCTCGCCCCGTTCCGATGTCCCCCTCAGGAGTTTTCCGTATCCTAGGGCCACAACCTAGTCTGGAGACCTCTCTCCAAACCTATGAAGCCCCTAACCCCCAAATGACCCCTTCAAGCGTCTCGGCCAATGTTAGTCGTCCCCATGGCAGCCCCCCCCCCGTCCTCCCCGCCCAGCCGCCTGGTCCTCCCTCAGCTGTCTCCCTCACCCCGTGACTCACCCGCATGCGAACCTCATAGGTGGTGAAGCGCGCGCGGCCCACGCCCACCGTCTGTGGATTAAAGATGTCGATCTCCAGGAAGTTACTTGGCGGCCCGTAAGCGTCAGTCAGGTCCTGCGGCTTCGAGTTAAGGCGCCGAGTGTCAGCCACTGCCGTGTCCGACATCTTTCCGAAGGAGAGACCGGGACCGGGGAAGGGGGTGGGGGACAGAGGCCGGAGGCAGGAGCGCGCACAGCCCCTCCCGTTTGCAAAATAACCAGCCAACCCACAGACAGCGGCGCCGCGCACGCGCGCCCACGCACGCACGCACGCACGCACGCGCACGCTCCCCTGGCCCCGGGCCCGGCACCCTGAATAGCGGCCACGCTGAGGGTTGTGAGTCCCGTATATTGGAGGCCTCATTCAGGCTTCCGGGCGGTGTTTGTGGCCGCCCCGGAACCTGCATCTCCGATACGCAGCGCCCCGTATCCTGGAAGCACCACGGGCGGAATCCGCCAATCGTTGCTCCCCAAACCCAAGAAATGGTCTTACACCGTGTATCTATCGGCTGCGGGCACTGCCCCGCAAACTGGGACCTTGCAGTGATAGGCCGAAGCCCCGTGACCTGAATAAGTCAGGGTTTTGCGCGAAAATAGAAGGGTGTTCTCCGGAGGGTGGGGTTCCAACAATAATACTAAGAATCTAGAACGCAGCCCTGCCACTTGGTGCCACTGATGGTTTCAATTCGTTCCACATGCAACGGAGCATTCAGCACCACGGTGCCAGGGGAGCAGCAAGGGTGGGGTAAACGTGATTGCTCATTCTCACTTTTCAGGAAAATTGGGGCATATCTTCATCCTGCACTTGTTACCACATAAAGCTCACCCCAGGTGTACTCAGATATATTTCTTAGCAAATTGAGGGCATTTATTTCATACTTCTGCCTCTACTCTGCAGAACTCCATACTTGACATTGCTCGGAGGTTGCTTGCAGCCCATAATGGAGATAGAATACGTGTCTAAATGAGAAAATATCTATAGACAAATTGATATTTATGTGACTAATTTACGCATGGCCCACATGAAGGGTGGTGATTTTAGGTCATCCCTTCTCCCCCCTGCACCTGCCTCTTCAGCTATTTCCCATGTCACTGATGCCTGAAATCCTTTTTTTTTTTTTAAGATTTTATTTATTTATTTGACAGAGAGAGACACAGCCAGAGAGGGAACACAAGCAGGGGGAGTGGGAGAGGGAGAAGCAGACTTCCCGCCCAGCAGGGAGCCCGATGTGGGACTCGATCCCAGGACCCTGGGATCATGACCTGAGCCGAAGGCAGACGCTTAACGACTGAGCCACCCAGGCGCCCTGCCTGAAATCCTTTTGACAGAGTACGAGACCCTATAATTTCACAGTTAGGTTATTTAATTCAATTTAACTGATGGCTACTAAGCAACCACTTATGTGCCAAGCACCATGCTAAACACTAAAGACCTAGAGTTGAATAAGGGAGTCTCTGCCCTCAAAGAGTTAACATTCTTTACTAAAAGAACGGGAGACAAGTAAATAAAACTAATGACAAATACAAAATAAGTGAGTGTTCCAAGCAGCACATAGGACATGAATAATTGGAGGAATTAGGGAAGGCTTCCTGGAGGAGGAAACATCTGAGTTTGACAGAAATGAAAAGGCATAAAGGGGGGCGCCTGGGTGGCTCAGTGGTTAAGTGTCTGCCTTCTGCTCAGGTCATGATCCCGGGGTCCTGGGATTGAGCCCCACATCAGGCTCTCTGCTCTGCGGGAAACCTGCTTCTCCCTCTCCCACTCTCCCTGCTTGTGTTCCCTCTCTTGCTGTGTCTCTCTCGGTCAAATAAATAAATAAAATATTTTTTTAAAAAAGGCATAAAGGACAAATAGAAGTGGAAATGGGAAAAGGCAATTTCTTGCAGAGGGAATAGCATAAGCAAAGTCATCATGATAAGAAACAGCATATTTTTAGGCAGGTGTCACCAACTCAGATTGCATAAAGAAAATGCCTTGAGAAGTAGACTGGCTGGGGACAGGCAATGAGGGTGATCCTTCTTTATGAAGTGAAGGATCTCTGGCTTTATGAAGTAGGTGATAGGAAGCCACAGAAGGATTTTTTAAAATATTTATTTATTTATTTGAGAGAGAGCACATGAACACAAGTGGGGGGGGGCAGAGGGAGAGGGACAAGCAGGCTCCCCGCTGAGCAGGGAGCCCCACGTGGGACTCCATCCCAGGACTCTGGGATGGTGACCTGAGCCAAAGGCAGACGCTTAACTGACTGAGCCACCTAGGCATCCTTGATCATGTCTTTTATCCTGTCAATAAAAATCCTTCAGTGTAGGGACACCTGGGTGGCTCAGTCGGTTAAGCGTCTGCCTTTGGCTCAGGTCATGATTCCCAGGGTCCTGGGATCGAGTCCCATGTTGAGCTCCTCGCTCATCTGGGGAGCCTGCTTCTCCCTCTGCCTGTCGCTTTCTCTCTCTCTCTCTGACAAATAAATAAATAAATAAAATCTTTTTTTATAAATAAAATCTTAAAAAAAATAGACATGATCATATTTGTGTGTTAGAAGGATTATTTTTCAGGCAACATGGAAGATATATTTCAATTGAATGAGGCTAATTATGAGGGTATCGACAATATGATTTGGAATCAGGTGGTGATAGTGGGAATGAATGAAGAAAAGGAAAGAGATAGGACTGAGATTGAGGAAATAGGTCAAACTTGTGTCTGATTAAATATGGTGGTAGTATAGTATAGGGCTTAAGCATGTGAGCTAGGGACTTAAGCTGCCCGGGGTTTAAATCCCTGTTTCCTAGCTGTAAGGCCTTGAGCAAGTTATCCAGTTTTCCTCATCTGTAAAATAGAAATGATAAGACTAAAAGCCACCTCTGGGGCTTTTGTGAGAATTAAATGAAACAAAATATGTGCGAATAGTAAGTGTTCAGGAACTATTTGCTATTATTACTATTTGAGGGGAGGGGAAAGAAAATGAAAATGACTTCTAGGTTTCTGATTTAGGTAACTAGGTGGATGCTGGTACCACCGATCAAAACTGGAATTACAGAAAGAAGAGTAAGTTTGGGAGGGAAGACCAAGTTCCATTTAGAAAAACCTGGGGTGTCTGTAGGACACCCAGGTGGAGATGTCTAGCAGGCAGCTGGAAATACTGGCCTGGAGCTCGAGGGTGGGGCAAGGGTTAGAGATAGAGATTTGGGAGTCATTAGCATATAATGCAGAAAGAAAAATGTGAAGAGGCAAGGGCAGAAGATTTAAAAATTGGTGAAAGCGGGGGTGCCTAGGTGGCTCAGTGCGTTAAGCGTCTGCCTTCGGCTCAGGTCATGATCCCAGGGTCCTGGGATGGAGCCCCACATCAGGCTCCCTGCTCAGCAGGAAGTCTGCTTCTCCCTTTCACTCTCCCTCTGTGTTCTCTCTCTCTCAAGTAAATATATAAAATCTTTTTAAAAATTGGTGAAAGCAGGCAGTGTTGATGAGAGTGTAAATCCATGCAATTTTTCTGGGAGGCAAATTGGCAGTAGGAATTAAAAAAAAACTTTGACCTCAAGAAACTTGTAATACTGGTTGTCTCTGGAGAACAGGAGTCAGGGACGGCAGAGAGAGTTGTTTTTCATTTTCATTGCATTTGTGTTTAAGTACTTTTGTATTTAAAAAAAGTTGTAATGTTATTTACGGAAATTGTTGACTCAAAAACTTCACTTCCAATAATTTATCCTGAGAAAATAATCAGTCACATAAAGATACCAGTATATGAAGCTTGTCTTTAAGAGTAAATAATTGTCCATTTTATGCAATGCAATATTTTTGTAGCCATGTATTTCTAACTTGCAAATGGGTTTATATGGCGAGTCTCACATAGGAGTAGTGGGTCCTATATTTTACAGACTTTGTGTCTCAGTCACTTCCTGCATAAAACACAGTCTTGTATAAATGGCCAAATTCAGGGTTCTCTTTTGTATCCGTTTAAAATGATGTTTTATACTCATTGATATGGAATGGTGCCCACGAAAAAGTGAAGAAAACTGGTAGAATATATTGTAATGTGATACCATTTGTATTACTGGATATGATATATATAATACTTAAAGACTGGAAGGATATAAATCAAAATGTTAGCAGTGGTTACCTCTGTGCGGTGAGGTTTCAGTTGGAATTTATGTTTTTATTTCTAATTTTCTAAAGGGTCTGATTTTTACATAATGAACATATATTCTTTTTTTAAGCAGAAAAAAGAATTTCATTTGGGAAAAATATTAAAGGGCAGGCACAGGAAGAGAAGCTCGTGAAGGAGACCAGGAAGAAGTAGTCTGAGAGGTAGAAAGAGAACCAGGAGACAATAGTGATCTGAAGGGGAGGGATAAGAAATTTTCCAAAAGGAGCAAGCAAGTAGTTACCAGCATTTAATACAGTGCAACGGTCAAATAATATAAGGCCTGGGAGCTGTCCACTAAATATGACAATTGCTTAAATGAGAGCAGTTTCAGTAGAGCACAAGGCATAGAGCCCAGATGGCTTTGGACTGAGAATCCGATCAGAGCTGGAGAAGTGGAAACATTTAGTAGAGACTCTTCTTTTGAGAAGCTGGCCTAAGAAAGAAATGTGGTAGCTAGAGGGCAATGCACTGTCAAGAAAGGGTTTGTTTAAAGGCAGAAGAGACTTGAGTGTGTTTAACAGCTGGGGGATAGGGATTTCATAGTAAAGTGGGAAGTTGAAAATACAGGTAAGTGAAGGGATAAGGCTTAAAATCAAATAGCCCTAGGAGACTTGTACAAGTTCATAATGAGGTGTAAATACATGGTCTTTTTTTTTTTTTTTTAAAGAAAAAGATTTGATGGCGGGGAGAGGAGAAGGTCCTGGGCTAATTAAATCCTTTGCAGTAATAACAGATAACAGCTGTTACCAGCTGGCGTGCGAGCACACGTGAGCGCGCGCGCACACACAATTTTTTGCTTTTCGTGAGGGGCACAGAGCTTCACAGTTACCAAGTGATGTTGAACAAGGCACAGTTATCCTCTGTACCTCAATTATCACACCAAGAAAAAAAATAGCCCAGTCAAATGTCTTGGCAAACAGGTGACATCAAAACTCAATGTGAGCAATACCCATTTTTCTCTCTCTTGGGTTTCCTTGACCACACTTCATTCTTTGCCAGAAGGAGTCCAGAGTTGGGGGTGGGGAACACAAAAGACAGAGATTTAGGATCCTTAAATTGGAAGGAATCTCATTAGTTCATCCTCTTACCCATGAGGAATACTGTACCTTAAAACCCCTATCCATCTTCCTGCTCGGAA